CCTGAAAGCAGAGGCTTAGTTTTACTTGTTGCTGTATCCCCAGTCCCTGTAGCAGTGCAGGCATACCATAGGCACTCAATAAATATTCCTTTAATAAGTGAATGTGTGAGTGAAGGAATCAATAAATAAATGAATGAATTAATACATCCCATGTGGTTTGACCTTGTCTAATTAATAAGTAAAAATTGGCATCATATATTTTAGTGTGTATCCTAAGTATCAATTTTTCATTTAAAAGTTCAATTCTTTCACCAACTAGGAGAACCCTATCGAATCTAATATCATTTTAACGGCATCAACTAATCTTGCTGCATCATTGTCCAAATTTCTTTTCTTCAAATAAATCATACTTGTTACTTACAATTAAACCTTGTGGTCAGCCTTTCCCAGCTGCACATGATGAATAGCAGGCAGATAATTGCCAGTTCAGGGGCCCATTTGTTTTCCTTACAGTGTGGTTCCTAGGAAGTGTTCTCCTTTCCTATCCCCTCAGAGGACTAATAAACTAAATCAATGTGTTCTTATAGAGGAGGTTTTGCTGCTTTGAATGTTTAGGGAAAAAATAAGGTAATATTTTTTTAAAAAAAAAATAAACCTTCAAAGCTCTATAGCAACTAGAAGGCCTTGAAGAAATATTGTCCGTGTTTAGAGACAATGAGGACATATTTCAGTTATAGAGAACAAGCCATGGTCACTTATAAAAGACAAATTGAATGGCATTGGGCTTTTAGAAATACCAATTCAAAAAAAGGGAAAAGGGCATTTGAGAGAACACTCCGTAACACAATCAGCTCATTGCACACCCGGGATGATCAGCCACACTCCTTTCCAAGGGCCTGCCATCTTTCATCCACATGGCTGCTGTGAGAGCCACCCTGTTATGCAAATGTGACCCCACCCTCTGGGCCCATCATGTTAGCCCAGACAGTGTTGGAAAGCTCAGGTGACAGAATAACCAGGTATGAAGCAGGAACAAAAGCAAAAGAAAATGTGGAAGGGAAAGGGGGCTTTTCTCCTTCAAAAAAAATATTATTTGGGGGAAAACTCAGGGTAGTTATCACAAAGAAGAAAATATTATATCAAAATTTCTTACACTTATTCTGGAGGTTAATTTTTAAATTTTCTTTTAAATTATGTATTAGTGGTTTGCTTGGGGTTATAATTATTTTGATACCTTGGGCCTGTACAGAACTTTATTTATCCTGGGCCAAAGAGGAAGCTTCTGTGCTAACCAAGTTGAGTCAATATGGTACCCACACTCTTAAGTCACAGTTGATGGTGCAAAGCAAGCTCATGACACAAGTTCTTTCTCCAGATTTTTTACTTAAGACTAAGAAATGGTAGATTCCATCTCTCTTGTGGCTAAAACTAGAATATATACACCAAAGATCACAAACTGGAGGAGCCAACGTGGCCAGATGTTTTCTGATTAGTCTTCCCAGTGTTTAGAAATTCTTCTTTCAGCATATTATGGGGGTTCAAATGTTTAGTTTACATATATTGCCTTTGTCCCACCCGAGTCAGAGCTTTGAGAGTGTCCATCCCCAGATGGTGTGCACCACACCCATTAGGTTTGACTATACCCATCCCCTCCTCCCCTCTCCCACCTGCCCAACACCCAATGAATGTTATTATTACTATATGTGCACTTAAGTGTTGGTCAGTTAAGTCAGTTAATATCGATTTGATGGTGAGTACATGTGGAGCTTGTTTTTCCATTCTTGTGATACTTCACTTAGTAGAATGGGCTCCAGCTGTATACAGGATAATACAAGAGGTGCTAGATCACCATTGTTTTTTGTGGCTGAGTAGAACTTCAATTAGTTGACAACACTTAACTATTAGAAAATTTTATGTAAAAATCTTGAGTTCACACTTCTCTTGAAACTAGATTTGGCAACACTGGGTGGATATCTCTCCACAGCAACTGTTGGCTGGAGCTCTAAGGTAGCCTGGATGGGATGGCAAACACTTTCCATAAAGGACTAGGTAGTAAATATTTGCAACTTTGCAGGCCACATGATATTTGTTGCAACAACTCAACTATACCACTTTAGCACAAAAGCAGCTATAAACAATACATAAACTTTATTTACAAAAACTGGTCAGCAAGTTGAATTTGGCCCTTGGGCCATAGTTTGTTGCCCTCTGCTCTAGTATCTCATGCCCAGTACTGCTCCTTATTTTCTTACAGCAGCCCACATTTGTATTACCTGCCTGCCCCCTGTGAACATTTGTGTTGACAGCACCTGATTTTAAGAGGCTGTCAGTGCTCATGTTCTTCACTTCATGGAGAAATTCATGAAGCCAAACCAGAGATGAATTCAGAGATGAGAAATGGTGTGGTAGGCAAAATGGCCTCCCCAAAAAGATGTCCACCATCTCCTAATCCCTGTAACCTGTGACTATGTTAAATTGCATGGCAAAAGGGACTCTACAGATAAAATTATGGTTATGGATCTTAAAATAGGGAGATTATCTTGGATTATCCAGCTGAGCCCTTAAAAGCAGAGAACTTTCTCCAGCTGAAGGCAGAAAAGGAATGTGGAAAAGGGGAAATTCAGAAAGATTCCAACTATGAGAAGGATTTGAAGTATGGTCTCTAAATACAAAACTGAGGGAGGCTTCTGGGAGCTAAGGGCCACCCCAGTTGACAGCCAGCAAGGAAACAGTTCTACAATAACAAGGAACTGGATTCTCCCAACAACATGAATGAACTTGAAAGTGTATTATTCCCTAGAATCTCTAGATAAGAACTCAGATGGCAACACCTTTATTTCAGCCTTGCAAAATCTGAAGCAGGGAAGCTAGATGAACCAACCCAGACTTCTAACATACAGAACTGTTGATTAATACATTTGTATTTTTTTTTTAAGATGTTAAGTTTTTGGCAATTTGTTATAGTGGCAATAGAAGACTATACATGTGAGGTCCTGATAGTGATCACCTCCCAGGTTCCATTTTCTCCTTAGGCTCTGTAGGTATTAATAGTAAAGAATTTAACCCTGCCCAAAGAGAGGTCTGGCCTTTGCCCTTGGTCCCTGGGAGGTAATCTCTAAGCCGTTGGAATGTCCTGCCTGACAAGAATGTCTTTGTTCACCTGGGGGCTATAGGCCCTGCCAGAAAGTCTAACAGTGTCATTTAGAGTAGGGACTTTGAGTCATGCAATATCAGCTTGACTCCCAGAGGAACTGGAGACCGAAGTAAGCCACTTAACCAGTTAGCCATGGAGCCCCAGTAATGACTCTGGATGTCAAGACACAGGTGATCATTCCTGGCTGGCAACCCTCCATGCATATTATCACACATCATAGCCAAGAGACTAGCATAGTCCCTGACTCCACTGAGAGAGGTCAAGTGAACATTCTTTGCTTAGAACTTGCCTAGACTACCCCATGGCTGAATTTAATCTGTTTCCTTTCAGTGTAATAAACTATAACCTTGAGTATAACAGTTTTCAGTGTATTCTGTGAGTCTTTCTCTCAAATTATCTAAACTAAGGTTAGTCTTGGGAAACTCCAAAACTTAAAATTGGTGTTAGAAGTGAGGGTAACAAGATGGACACTGTCCCTCTAACTTCACATCCTGGTATAATTCCCACCTTTCCAAAACGTATTTGTTTAACCCTTGCATTGTAGATTTCCTTTTTTGACTAGTTTCTATCACTTGCATCTAAGAGAGTTTTAATCAACACACTCATATACAAAAGTAGTTACATCATTATCAATAAGCCAGAAACTTAAAATAACAGAATTTCACTTTTAGAAAAAATTGCATGGGCAGGGGGGGCAGCGGCGGGAAGATTGTGAGATCTTCCATTGCAACCCCTACATTTTTCAGATGAGCAGTCCAGAGGTAAAGAAAACAGCAAAGAACTTTATAAATCATAATTTTTGTAAGTGTTCTGACTCACAGGCTAGCAATCCTCAACCAACATCACATTATCTCTGATTCAAATACAAATTTGGGATTAGTGACTAGAACCACATGCCAATTTGTTCCAGAACTTTTACCAGTAAATCCTTACCAGAGTTTGCGTTCGATTCACCACTAGAAGCACTGGCTGATGTTTGGGGGGATGATGGTTTTATCATTGTTGTCTGATCCTGAGAGTCCTTGTCATCGTGTGACAGATGAGACTTAGCAGAGTCAGGTCCCACGACTGGTTTGCTTGTATCTCCTAATTTGTGGCACACCATTTGGTTTCCAAGCCTCTCTGCAGTAATAAGGAAAAATGTAAAAACATATTGCCATTGTTTTCAACTATCTTTTAATATGACATGGAGAGAAATACTTAAAAAAATACTGTATTCCTAGGCAGTGACATACCAAATGAGAGGCAGTGGGAGGCATCGCCCTAGTTGCTGACCATAAGGGAATGCATTGTCTGTAGGGGATTTAAAAACAATAACAAAATCTACAAAAAGTCTGACTGCTTTTTATTGTTACCCTATGCTGTCAATTCCTACTGCTCCTGCTTTGGAAGACCATCATTCCTAGGATTGAGTCTGTTGTTGTTTAAATTAACTCCTAGTTTTCACCCCATTTCAAATCTATTGGAGTCCAGTTGGAATTCCAATGTGTGGTATAAAAACTTGTTCCATAAACTTCGTGGCCTCCCAAATCCTCAAAGTAATGATCTTTGTAGTCATTCTCAGGGCAGAAATGTGCTTCTCTTCCTACTCATATGTTGCTGTTTTGTCCTTTCTTTTTTCTTACTACTATCATCCTACTTCTAACCCTGTTTAAATTCTGAATATTTTGATTGGTTTTTTTTTAAGTATTTACATTGTAAGCTTATATTTGCCACCTTTTATGTCACTTACATAGAAATAAATTTTTTCTTTGTCCTTTTGCTTCTCCCAAAGAAAAAATGAAAATGTTTTGTGAAAAGGAAGACCAAATAGAGATTGTCATTGACAGAACCATTTTTGAGGGAAAATGGTAGTTACATACCATTTGAATTGGATATATCCATGTCTCCCACTTCAGTTGAACAAACATGTGATTTAGTGACTTTCTTTCTTGTCCTTCTTAATTTATTCATCTTGCTAGCTTCAGTCTCATTGACTTCATCTTTTGTTGTATCCTATAATAATTAATAAACAAAAAGGTGAATGACAGATCATGCAAACAACTAAACTTGGATGTCAAAAAGGTACTACAATTGAATAGCTAGATTTTGAAATGAGTATGAGAGACTTTTATAATGAGTAAATTTTGTCACTTTCACAGTCACTTAAACAACTCAAAATTAAGAAGCCCAACATTGTGCTGACAGACTGGATTTTCTCTATCTCCTTTTATATGTGGTACAGAAAATACCATTTAAAAAATTAAGATCTTGTCTACCTATTCAAGATTTCTGTTAGGGTGTGAGCTAGTGTATGCAAGTTTTGAGAAAGATTTTTCCAGATAAAGTTTAGGATGGGAAGAAGAAGTCTATTTACTTTTTTCTAGGTGGAAATGGGACCAGAAAAAGGGCCAGCACAGAGGCAGAGAGAGGAAAAATGTGCTGGCCTTGAAAACCAGCTATTGAAGCTTTTTATTTAGGGAGTGAAGAAGGTTTATGGCTGTAGCCAAATTAACAGAGTACTGTGAAACTGCAGCATCCACTCCTCTCTTCTTGGTGGCAAGATGCAGCAGATGTCAAAGTCCAAGAGTTGGCTCTCCTGCTTTTCCTTGGAGAAGGGATTATCAAAGGAGATGTGACTCTGCCCTCAAGATATGGCTGAGGCCTGCTGTTTACTCAGGAACTCTGTAAAAACAGATCCTCAAAAGCAATTTTAAAAGAGAAAGATTTACATCTCTTTTCTGTCTATTCAGCTCTTTCCAGAAGTTGTGCAAAACAGAACTCCTACAGTCTACCTGTTAGTGAGAGAACTCATAGGATTAATCTTTAACTGTTACTAGGAAATTGTGGGACTAGATATTTTCCTGTTAATTTTTCAAGGCCTCCTCTTTCAATTTCTATCTTTATTTTTTACTTTGGGAAATTTTATATTTATTTATTTCTAAATCATTTTACAAAACCAATTTCAGCTAAAAAGTTTACTCATTATGCTTTCTACGTTTTTTAGGATCTCTAACCTTTTTGACCAAAGGCTTAAGCACCTGAAGATTGGATTCTCCTCTCTTCTTCCTTACTCCATCTTTATTACATCAATATTTGTTTTGTTTCAAAAAAGTATTCACACCCATAAAGTGCTATTTTTCCATTGTGTTTTATAGGTGTAAAACAAATGTCATACTCAAAACCATTTTATAGTTTTGAGAAATCTACAGAAATACATTTAAAACAAAACAACCTAACTTTTACAATCTACTTATAATGCTTCACAGGATATTCCCAGCAGGGAGTTGGGCAGTGAGGCAGGGGCTCCTGGTGGGGAGCTTGGTGTCACAGCACTAACAGTGGACAAAATCACCCCTGAAGTCCTGGGACACAAAATCTGTCACTAAAAAAAATATTAAAATTGTTTTAAAAACTGACATTGCTATTTTTAAGGCTTTTTGCAAACTTCCTCACTGTGGTTTAAGGGAAACAGAAAGTGACAGGGTCAGGGTCAAAAAAGTATATTCTAAATGTTTTGAGCTTCTTGTCTTTTTGAAGGGCAGTCTCTGAGAGGTTCCATATCTGTAGGCAAGTTATAGAAATCTGTGTCCAGAGTGCGTGCTGGGGAATAACTGTACCAATTTGTCCTCATAAACCAATTCAGCCTCTGAAGCCTAAAAAAAGGAAAAAAAGAATTTTCATTTTTTGTGTTTATATGTATTTATGATGCATTGTTGTTATTGTGACTGTATTAATGAAGATATATTTCATAGAACAAAGTGTTTTTTATGATGTTAAAGTTTCACTTATAAGAAAACTGTGGCCTCTTTCAATTCGGATAATCTTAAATTTAAATTATATGGTACTTACTATGTGATATAGTAATTTATTTTTTCCTAGTAGTTTAGGATTTTGTTCAAACATTTGCATAAATTTTCCTAATATACTTCTGATAGAATCTGGCCATAACATAAAGCCCTATTATATATATTCACCATTTCTAAAATCACTTTGCCAGAAATATATCATATAATTTTATTTTTATCAAATGTTTTTATATAGAGATATCTGTGGTCTTTTAAAGAAGTCTTGTTGAGAAAATGAAATATTTGGCCAGGGATATAAAATGTAAAAGAAATCTGAGCAGACTAACATTTGTTTTAGCTTGACCCCTTTGAAGTCCCTTAGTATAAATTGAAGGAATCAGATGAGATAAACTTGAAGATCCCTTTCAGCTTCAGACTCTAACCTGCGATTGAATAGCAATGTGCTAAAATTAAGCACATTGTCAGGCGCCTTTTCTCAGCATACCCCTTAAGGTAATAAAATCTCTACTTTACAAATGAGAAAAATTAGACCCAGAGTAACTTGCCCAAGGCCACAATAGTGAATGGAAGATGCAATTTACAAAAAGGTCTTCTGATTTCCAAAATGCCATTCTGTTTCCTAAAACCCAGAGATCCAACCCCAGAGAAAATTCATTTTAAAAACATTCCCCTACCCTCATATAAACCAGATCAAAAGAAAAGTTTTTTAAGAAAACAACAAAGACAATTTACTTAATTACTAACATGAGAATTTCACCAGTATGAACCCCAAAACTATGTTGTAGTACATGCCTTTTACTACATAAAAATGTTCAAAAATAAAAAGCAAGAGGAGGAGGGAAGGGAGGTTAAAATAAAGAATACATTTCATTCAGTCCTTTGATTTTCTTTTATATACTAAGGTGATCAGAGTATAGACATAGCTATTATAGCTTAAATTCATTCATTGGATCCCTGGCTTGTCCCTCCTCCAGTAGAGTATTTTTTAATTCTCCACAATCATTAAATTGCTCTTAGGTACAATGTGAATATCTCAGTAAAAAAACCTACCAGCCAAGATACACGAGGTTTGGTTTCTAATTTTGACTTTTCCACTAAGCAGCAAGTCCTTCTGGGGCCTTAGTATTCTCATCATCACTAGGGAAAGGACAGTGTCTTCAATAAATGGCGCTAGGAAAATTGAATATCCATAAGCAGAAGCATAAAACTAGACACTCACCTCTCGCCCTATGCAAAAATCAACTCAAATGGATCAAAGACCTAAAAGAAAGACCCAAAATGATAAAATTACTAGGAAAAAATGTAGGAGAAATGCTTCAGGACATTGGTTTGAGAAATTTTATGAATAAGACCTCAAAAGCAAAAGCAACAAAAGCAAAATTAAACAAATGGGATTATATTAAACTAAAAAGCTCATGCACAGCAAAAGAAACAATCAACAGAGTACAAAGACAACCTACAGCACCTGTGTCTCCAGAAAATATTTGCAAACTACTCATCCAATAGGGGATTAATACCCAGAATATACAAGGAACTGAAATATCTCAATAGCAAAAAAACAAACAATCCAATTTAAAAATAAGCCAATGATCTGAATAGGCATTTGTCAAAAGAACATATAAAAATGGCTAACAAATATATGAAAAAATGCTCAACATCACTAATCATCAAGAAAATGCAAATCAAAGCCACAATGAGGTGTCGTCTCACCCCAGTTAGGATGCCTGTTATCAAAAAGACAAAAAATAACAAATGCTGGCAAGGATGTGGAGAAAAGGAAACTCTTATACACTGTTGGTGGGAATGCAAACTAGTACAACCACTATAGAGAACAGTATAGAGGTTCCTCAGAAAACTACAAATAAACTATCATATGATCCAACAATTCTACTACTGGGCATTTATGCAAAGGAAAGGAAATCACTATATTGGAGCCATATCTGCACCCCCATGTTTATTACAGCACTATTCACAATATTCAAGATATGGACTCAGCTTGGGTGTCCAACAACAGGTGAATGGATAAAGAAAATGTGATATATATACACCACGTAATACTGTTCATCCACAAAAAAAGGATGAAATCCTGTCATTTGCAGCAACATGGATAGAACTGGAGGACATTATGTTAAGTGAAATAAGCCAGAAACAGAAAACTAGACACTACATGTTCTTACTCACATGGGGAAGCCAAAAAAAGTAGATTTCACAGAAGTAAAAAGTAGAACAGAGGACACTAGAGCCTAGGAAGTATAGGAGAAAGGGGAGGATGGGAGAGATTTGTTAAAGGATACAAAGGTACATTTAGATAGCAGGAGTAATTTCCAGTGTACGATAGCACCATAGGATGACTGTAGTTAACAATAATATATAGTTTCAAATAGCTAAAAGGAGGATATTAAATGTTCCCAATACACAGAAATAATAAATATTTGAGATGATGGATATGCTGATTACCATACATTATATGTATCAAAACATCACTACATACCCCATGAATATGTACCATTATTATTGGTCAATTAAAAAATAAAATTAAAACAAATTAAAAACAAACTGGGTCAACTTCTCCAATTATATATTCTTTTTCCATTGTATTTTTTATACCTCATAATTCTTTCCTGTATAAGGGTTAAACCCATCTTAACTCATGTTACCACCAGCTTAAATTTCATTAGTCCAAACAGTGAGTATGTAACCTCAAAATCAAAGACACAAAAATAAATAAAACATAAAACATGATTCACAGAAACTCTTACAATCTAGTATAGACAATAATGTGTTGTTACGGCAGTTAAGGACTTCCATGCTGTATGGAAAGAGATACGCTTAGGTTACCCCAGTTCGAGGTTAGCAAACTCAAATATCAGGTGGGTAACAAAGAGACACAGTGGGCTGGGTGGTGAACACAAGAGTTGATACTCCTTCCCAGGATGGAGCCATCCCTTGGCTTCAGCCAATTGTCGTCATGTCAAATTGTGGCCCCAGTGTTGCCAGTTTTACAAATTTTCATATAATGCCAGAAATGGATTTTTATTTGAAATTTTATGATAGTTAAATATTGGCCATTAATTTAAAATATAAGGTAGGGAGCAAAGATGAAAAGAAATTTTCTCAACTATTAATACTGCACAACTGGTCTCAAAACAACTGGAGTGCAGTTCAGAATATGCAGCAACCTTAGAGGGCCCCTGGGCACTACCATAT